TGTGACTAGTCCATACACGGTCGTACCTATTGTTAATCCTATACAGTTATACTGTAGTACAGTGAACTTCAGACAATCAGACGAACGTTGTGACTAGTCCATACACGGTCTTACCTATTGTTAATCTTATACAATTATACTGTAGTACAGTGAACTTCAGGCAATCAGACGAACGTTGTGACTAGTCCATACACGGTCTTACCTATTGTTAATCCTATACAGTTATACTGTGGTACAGTGAACTTCAGGACATGCATTTGTTTATTATGATGAAATATATAATTATAAAAAATACAGCCTCGTTTATACTTTTCCCCAACATTTAATGGGCCTCGTTATATATCCCAGCAAAATACACATGCATATGTTGATAATTTCTTAGATACATGTACACATAGCTACACAATACCATGTGAAAAGATCTTATTTCACAGACCCACAGAAACCATTCTAACAGGTACAAAACATATACAGCTCAAATATCACAGGCATGTTCTCACCTGTTTGAATTTGTCCAGGATTTCTGTTAAGCCATTCGGAACTTATTATCGGTATGAATATGGACATACCAACAACCGAGATGTTCCGAGAAGATGTCATATCGACTACCCTCAGACCAGAGATCCCCAGCGATAGAACGATTCCTGAGGATTCAACATATAATAATGTGTAAATCATAAAACCAATTTAAAACATCAGGATTAATTTTGTCACTAAAATATCTAAATGTCATCCACTGTCAGTTGTATATTATTATTAAAATACATTATTTATCAATCAACGTTGAACGGCAATGATAACGGTGAAATTATTCATATCCTAATCTGATTCACAGACAGATAGCTCATCCAATAATAATGTACTACTAATGATGCTTCAATATACAGACCTAGCCTTGTACTACCATTGGCATTGGTAACACGAGTCGCGAGACGTACTGTCTCCTCTTTACGAACCTTGACTTTGGTATCTTACCTAAGCTAACAAGAGTTATTCCGCCAATGATAGGGTCTGGCATTGACGTCATGACAGCTCCAAGCTTTCCAAACACCGCCAGCACCATCCCCATAGCTCCCGATAACGCTAGTACGTACCGACTGCCTACCTGTAGTGTAGAGGAGGATAAGGATGTTAGGTAAAACATTAATATTGTACAAAGTTTCATCTACAGAATCAAGCAGAAACAAAAATGCTGTGTTTTCACCAAAACTCAGTACTTTTCAGCTTCTCTATAACATTTACGCAACATGAAGCGCCATATTTTACTTGCTTGTGTTCAAAAATATACCACAGCCATCCTGCTGTGTTGTGTACGGAAGTACTTATCTCATAATTTTGAATTGAATACAGTCAAACCTACCCGAGAGACCTCCTGTGTCTAGATATCTCTAAATAATCGACCTATTGTAGTTATACATCATGTCAACTGTTCCTGTCTAAATAACCCACCTTTAACAGGAGACCACTATATAGATTCGTCCGAGGCTTTTTACGAAGCAGAACTTCGTAAGTAACCATGTTCATGCTCTTATTGACACACACGGTGGTACATTTAGGACATGCACAATGTCAGTTTCTACATTAATTAACTCGAGCGTTCGACTTATTATGTCAAGCGCTCGAAATATTACGTCGAGCGCTCGAGAAGTTATGTCGAGGTAATTGATGTAGAACATAATATTGTGCAACAGTAGACAATGTGCGTAATTGATAAACGACTTAAAGACAAAACAAAATGCGCACATTAGCCCGTGATACCGCCAACTATTTCCTCTGTATTTGGTGAGGTGGTGAGGCTCATCAGCCGCCTGCTACCACCTGGGTCAGCGACACATCACTACTCGTTATGATTGTTTAATCCCCACTTTCTGTTTCTAATATAGAAGTCGCTGTTAATGCTAATGATTACGTGATGATGTCTTATGTTATATCCTTACAGAACCTAGTCACATCTCGACCAACTTAAGCATGTTTCGAAGTCACCAAATACAAGACTGCCTATCTGACACATGGCGATGTTTATAAATTTGATCCCCTCACATTTGTTCTCGTTAATGCACCGGCTAACTTTCAAATGGTAATGACCTAGGTATTAGGAGGTTTGAATCTATTCCTGTGTGTGTTGATGGTATCATTGTTTGCCCCCTTCCCATCTGAACTATTTGAAAGACTCCGTAGTGCTGGATTAACCCTTTAACAAAGTAAGAGTCCATTTGCCGCATCGAAAGTCGTGTATATAAGATACATTATTACCAAACTTGTTGTGCGGGTCGGCGATTCTGAAACAGAGGCAGCAACGACTTTTCCCGTTCCAAAATCGCGATAGGATGTTACAAGTTTCTTAGGACTGCGTCATTATAACAGAAAATTTGTAAAAGTAATTTTTAATATCACCGCGCCACTTTATTTCCTAATCGATCATTTGATCAGCTTAACATCAAACCAATGCCTATGTCTGCCGATACCAAAACGGCACGCTAGTTAATGTCTTCACTGTGACGCTTCAGGCAAACCTATTGACTTTATACTCACAGGAAAAGATCACTCGGGTACAGAACATGTCATTGCATGTTGTGGTAGGGCATTACGTTAGGCAGAACTTGAAAGGTAAATAACAGAATAAGAATATTTCACTGCCATTACTGCTATCAGAGATTATAAAGTATATTTAGCAATTCAAAAAATATTGTAAATATTGACCATTAGGTTTTGTCCGAGTTAAAGACAATGAACAACCCGAGGCTGCTTTGTTTGTCTCTCCCGCCTCAAGGTCAGCATTATCAACTTACACTCAAACCAGAGAACCCCCCCCCCCTCCCCCCGACAGTCACACCTACACTAGCGGTACACATCAGAAACTGTACGTGGAAATAACATTCCTAGACATATATGCATGTAATCGACGGGTTTATTAGGATAAGATCTCAACACAGCCGAGATATGTATGTCTGACCACTCCGATACAGCACATCAACAACCGTCAATGACCCCACGGGATGTAGGTACATCAACAACTGTCAATGACCCCACGGGATGTACATGTAGGTACAACAGCCGTCAATGACCCCACGGGATGTAGGTACATCAACAACCGTCAATGACCCCACGGGATGTAGGTACATCAACAACGTCAATGACCCCACGGGATGTAGGTACAACAACAGCCGTCAATGACCCCACGGGATGTAGGTACATCAACACCGTCAATGACCCCACGGGATGTAGGTACATCAACAACCGTCAATGACCCCACGGGATGTAGGTACATCAACAACGTCAATGACCCCACGGGATGTAGGTACAACAACAGCCGTCAATGACCCCATGGGATGTAGGTACATCAACAACCGTCAATGACCCCACAGGATGTACATGTAGGTACATCAACAACCGTCAATGACCCCACGTGATGTACATGTAGGTACAACAACAACCGTCAATGACCCCACGGGATGTAGGTACATCAACAACCGTCAATGACCCCACGGTATGTAGGTACAACAACAGCCGTCAATGACCCCACGGGATGTAGGTACAACAACAGCCGTCAATGACCCCACGGGAGGTAGGTACAACAACAGCCGTCAATGACCCCACGGGAGGTAGGTACAACAACAGCCGTCAATGACCCCACGGGAGGTAGGTACAACAACAGCCGTCAATGACCCCACGGGATGTAGGTACGGCAACAGCCATCAATGACCCAACGGGATATAGGTACAACAACAGCTATCAATGACCCCACGGGGTGTAGGTACAACAACAGCCGTCAATGTCCCCAAGGGATGTAGGTACAACAACAGTTATCAATGACCCCACGGGATGTAGGTACAACAACAGCCGTCAATGACCCCACGGGATGTAGGTATAACAACAGCCGTCAATGATCCAACGGGATGTAGGTACAACAACAGCCGTCAATCACACCACGAGATGTAGGTACAATAACAGCCGTTAATGACCCCACGGGATGTAGGTACAACAACAGCCGTCAATGACCTCACGGGATGTAGGTACAACAACACCCGTCAATGACCCCACGGGATGTAGGTACAAAAAGAGCGTCGGTACTTTAGGCGTGTGTATGCATACTTACACAGGCCTATAATATATAATATATAACGAAATAATGATTCGTCAAATAGCCGTACATGAGGAACGGCGTCAGTACATCTCCTACCACGATTCTACAGGAGGCGGCGGCGGCGGACATTTCTTATTCAAAAATTAAACAAAAATGTTTCTTACCTCGTATGAACCAAGATGTTTTTGATTATGTTACATCTTGTGGAAAATGACAACTTGCCAAACATGACAGGAATGCCCGCTAAGCACCACTAGGGTATTTACCAATTACTGCCATATTTACTTGATGGCAAACATGTTTGCTATGTGGCCTTCCCAAAAATGATCCCTTTACACTACCAATGCTCATATCAAACAGAAGGAACGCCTTCCGTTAATAACAGTTGACCTTAGCAATTGGAGCGAGAGTTTCCTTCTATGCACCAATGATGCCACACAAAATGTAGGGATTGCAAACGTTGTATTCGACGATGTGTCAACCCGGATGGAGGCGCCTCCTGTCGTTGTCAGCGACAGGGGACACAATTCATTCATGTCATCAGGCACTATTCCAGTTCCTGCTATCCCATGTCGAATACAGTATGCAGCATTTAAACGCAAAATCAGCATTATTGCTCATACTCTATGTACATAATGCGCAAAACATCCAGCAAAAACGGCAAACGTGTTAGAACGAATAATGATGGCATTTCGTTCGAGTCCCCTTTTATATTCTTATGGCAGAGAAACGAATTACCTATCGACGTAGCTGTATCGCCTCCAATCAACATTGAACTAACCGGAAACAATATGTTGGACTATAAATTTAGTAATTAATCATTGTTCAGGTTTTAGCAAATAAAATTGTCAAAATCATAAGAGAGAAAACAAATCAACGGTATCAAACCAACCAGCGCGCCGAAACCGAGGTTCAATCTTTTTGACCATGTTTATCTCCAACTGTCCAAAATACCTTTTGGAACGTCAAAGAAATTATGCCCCGGAAGGAATGATTCCAACTACGTTGCCCGTGTAAAGATTGTCGAGATGTCCATCGTCCGATATCGGCCATAATCCACAAGTGCTGGTCACTCAAGAACCAAGTTCATCGGACAAAAACGTGTTTATCCATATATGTATGTTGCGTTATGTGACAAACTCAATTTGTTCGTTAAAAGGAATACTTTCTACTTCAACTTAAAATGTGACGTCAGGCTATTGTTTTAATTGCGATATTGCAACTACGACAACTGTTATCATTAATATAAACAATCCTGCTAGTGTGGACTGTTGTCTTACCCGGTATAAATATGGTTTAAAACGAACGGTTTGAGAAAAAAGCTTGCTATCATCAAATTAAATTTTACTATTGTGATAAAGTGAGTAAAAACTTCACGACATGACACGAGTCCTTTACCGTACATGGTTAAAGAACCCACCTTCGTTATTGCTACAACGGCTGCATTTGTGGTGTATGAAGTGGTGGCATGGCCCGTACCGAGAGATGCCGAAAGGACACTCATAAGTCCCTCGATGAGCACGCCCCGGTTGACAGCGTGTGGAGGGACGGGGAAGGCGTTGCACGTCTTGCCTATTGTGAAGTAGTCCCCCACCGACTCCATGGCTGACGATAGCACCACGGACAGAAATCCAATAAATAATGCCATATTAAATCCGGGGGCGCCAAACTGACCTAAAAACAAGCGTCTTCGTTAACACCAGCAACACCAACACAGACTAAAGCGTCTCATTATCAAAGTATTAAGAACTGTATTACAAAAATTAAAAAAAGAAGTTGTTTTAAATGTTTTGAAAGTAACCAACGGTTTCGAGAACCAATGCATAATATCTGCGATGAAATCCTCCCCCGGAGACAGGAGGGCATGCCATAATTTGAGGACGGTTTTATAAAGGTGGTACAGACAGGCTAGGATATCTATAAGGACATTCTACAGGAGGTTGAGTCAGGATTTGTTTTCTATGAGGACAGCCTTTATGAAACAGAGGTTATGATATCTTTGAGGACGGTCTCAACCGAAATACAGGATGTAAAGCTAGGTTATGATATTTATCATGACAATCTCACCCGGAACAGGATGTAGAGCTAGGTTATGATATTTATCATGACAATCTCACCCGGAACAGGATGTAGAACGAGGTTATGATATTTATCATGACAATCTCACCCGGAACAGGATGTAAAGCTAGGTTATGATATTTATCATGACAATCTCACTCGGAACAGGATGTAGAACGAGGTTATGATATTTATCATGACAATCTGACCCGGAACAGGATGTAGAACGAGGTTATGATATTTATCATGACAATCTGACCCGGAACAGGATGTAGAACGAGGTTATGATATTTATCATGACAATCTCACCCGGAACAGGATGTAAAGCTAGGTTATGATATTTATCATGACAATCTCACTCGGAACAGGATGTAGAACGAGGTTATGATATTTATCATGACAATCTCACCCGGAACAGGATGTAGAACGAGGTTATGATATTTATGAGGACGGTCGTATTCCTTACCCGGATACGGAAAGAAGAACCAGGGCGTTGTTTCTATGAGGACAGTCCTCGTGTCTGTCCGTGCTTTGTATGCTGGGTCCGTCTGATCGTCCGGGAACACTCCCGCTCGTGTCAACACGAAACACAGTACCCAGGTCAGGACGATGCTGATCAGAATCTAATCGATCACGTAGTATATCATCGGACAAAAAACATACAAAAGTAAAAAAAAAAACCAAAAAAACATTTGACGGCATTTATGTCCGGAGGCTATCGTGATCAAAATTTATGAAACAGTCTCGTAAAACTGTAGTTCATAGTTAAGGTAGAAAGTCTCACCATTATGTTTGTGTATATATAGTAAAACTGTAGTTTATATTTAGGGTAGAAAGTCTCCCCATTATGTTTGTGTATACAGTAAAACTGTAGTTTATATTTAGGGTAGAAAGTCTCACCATTATGTTTGTGTATACAGTAAAACTGTAGTTCATATTTAGGGTAGAAAGTTTCACCATTATGTTTGTGTATATAGTAAAACTGTAGTTCATATTTAGGGTAGAAAGATTCACCATTATGCTTGTGTATACAGACATTAAAACATTTATGATAAAATAATTTTCTGTAAATTGTGTTATTGTTTTCTCCATGTTCATACCAGGCCTATTTACCGAGTGGTAAATTATAAATATTATTCCCATCGATTTTGTTGAAAACTATTTACAAAACAAGAAGCATTACTTTGAGCGCATTGGATAATCTCTGACCTTTTAGACAAGTGGTCGTTCGTTCCGATTTCTGTAGCAGAGATGTGTTGTTACAATTTTTTTTTTTTATATATAATTTTGCTTTGAGCAAACCATTCTAAGTCTGAACTATTCACAATATACAACTCTTAAACTGAACTATTCCGAAAAAAACAACTTGGAGAAGGAATAATTCAGAACAAACAACTTTTGACTGAAATATTCATAACAAACATCTCCTCTCAAACTGAACCTAACTATTCTAAACAAACTTGATTTTGTTTTCGCTGGACCCTCTATGTTTTGTTAATTATGTGTTTTCTTTATATATTTTTTTATTAAAATTGCATTACTCAGCACACACGAACCACACTTTTGTACCTGTTTTCAATCAGTAACAATGTATCAAACAGCTAGTAAAACCATGACAAGAAAAGTGAGTTACATTGTACGATACATACCGCGAAAACGTCACAGACGGAGTAGCCTTTAGCGGGAGCACCACGCCTCCTACAACACCGGGGTAGGCTGACCCGCACGTGGGCCAGGTATACTCCGCATATTATCACCACCAGGGAAGTCCTGTCGAGCAAATGGAAGCCGGTCAATTACAAAGGAATAGCGATCCTCGCGTTCTGGGCGAAGTATTTAGAAAGGAAGTGACACACTGCAATGTGTTAGAACCAATTTAACACATTAAATGCCGAACACATGAACCAATGGCAGAAGGATCCGACCTATAATCCTGCCTGCCTGTTAACACACAAGGCTGTACGTTAGACAGCAGTGAACAGTTAATTGTTCCAAGAGAAAAAAGGATTGAAACGGAAAAGGTAATTTACAGTGAATACAGCTGAACTATTGTGTTTTCCTCTGTGGGCTTTAAAGCAGATGACAGAGAATGATATCTCCAACTCTGCATGGATATTGCCTGGATCACAGAGAGGGATACCACTGTGTATTGTGTCCCTGAACTTACAAATATCTTAACCTAAAGTAAATACATGTAATAATCTACATCTGATTTCAGGTGATAGGAATATTGGTAACAGTGGTGGAAAAATGTCAATGGCGATAACATTATTAATGATATCGTTTCGAAGGAGAAAAAGAAAAAGAAGAGAAAAAATGCACTTATATACAATGTTTATATGTTTTCATTTTTTTTTTTTACAAAACACTACAATTGTTTGGAAACATAGCGTTAAAATAGCGACAATCAGAGTTGACATACAACATTACAAACAACGACGGTATAAACAGACTGTCCTGAAAAATATGTATTTACGCTTTGTAGTTTTGTTCAAAAGAGGGAAAACAAAAATCAACAACTTACGTTAAAGCTACCGGCCAATAGCTTTTACTGTATGATATAGGTATGGGGTAGAGAGAATATCCCAGGAGGAAAATTGTGACGGAGCTGGTAATTGGTCCGACAAAACGAAGAGCCATCCCAATGGCACCTGTTCCCCCTAAGACCACCTCGACAACTGAGGCAAGCATCAGACTGCCTTGGAGCTGGAAGGATAATCCAGGGGCGTCTTGTAGCAATACTCAATTAATAAGGCATCATCTTTGATACATTTACGTTAAATTACTTTGTGTTGATAACGCGAAAGTAATGCACAGGCTTACTGTCAATTTAAGGTATGACACTACGTCTAAGGTACATATAGTACAGTACCAATTATACACAGAAATAAGTGACAACTAGACATTGACAACAGGACAGTTATAACTAGACAGTGACAACTAGACATTGACAACAGGACAGTGGCAAGTAGACATTGATAACAGGACAGGGACAACTAGACAGTGACAACTAGACATTGACAATAGGACAGTGGCAAGTAGACATTGACAACTAGACATTGACAACAGGACAGTGGCAAGTAGACATTGATAACAGGACAGGGACAACTAGACAGTGACAAATAGACATTGACAACAGGACAGTGGCAAGTAGACAATGACAACAGGGCATTGGCAAGTAGAGATGGACAACAGGACAGTGGCAAGTAGACATTGACAACAGGACAGGGACAACTAGACAGTGACAACTAGACATTGACAACATGACAGTGGCAAGTAGACATTGATAACAGGACAGGGACAACTAGACAGTGACAACTAGACATTGACAACAGGACAGTGGCAAGAAGACAATGACAACAGGGCATGACAAACAGGACATGGAGAACAGTGAATAATGTACATTGACAACAGGACAGTGATACCAAGACATTGACAACAGGACAATGACAACCAGACATTGACAACAGGACAGTAACAACGAGATATTGAAAACAGGGAATTGGCAAGTAGACATTGACAACAGGACAGTGGCAAGTAGACATTGACAACATGACAGTTACAACGAGATATTGAAAACAGGGCATTGGCAACTAGACATTGACAACAGGGCATTGGCAAGTAGACATTGACAACAGGACAGGGACAACCAGACATTGACAACAGGATAGTTACAACGAGATATTGAAAACAGGGCATTGGCAAATAGACATTGACAACAGGGCATTGGCAAGTAGACATTGACAACAGGACAGGGACAGTGGCAAGTAGACATTGACAACAGGGAATTGGCAAGTAGACATTGACACCAGGATAGTAACAACGAGATTTTGAAAACAGGGCATTGGCAAGTAGACATTGAAAACAGGACAGTGGCAAGTAGACATTGACAACAGGACAGTGACAACGAGATATTGAAAACAGGGCATTGGCAAGAAGACATTGACAACACGACAGTGGCAAGTAGACATTGACAACAGGACAGTGACAACGAGATATTGAAAACAGGGCATTGGCAAGAAGACATTGACAACGGGACAGTGGCAAGTAGACATTGACAACAGGGAATTGGCAAGTAGACATTGACACCAGGATAGTAACAACGAGATTTTGAAAACAGGGCATTGGCAAGTAGACATTGACAACTGGGCATTGGCAAGTAGACATTGACAACAGGGGATTGGCAAGTAGACATTGATAACAGGGCATTAACGAGTAGACATTGACAACAGGGAATTGACAAGTAGACATTGACAACAGGGCAGTAACAACGAGATATTGAAAACAGGGCATTGGCAAGAAGACATTGACAACACGACAGTGGCAAGTAGAGATTGACAACAGGGCATTGGCAAGTAGACATTGACAACAGGTCATTGACAAGTAGACATTGACAACAGGACAGTAACAACAAGATATTGAAAACAGGGCATTGGCAAGTAGACATTGACAACGGGGCATTGGCAAATAGACATTGACAACAGGGCATTGACAAGTAGACACTGACAACAGGGCATTGGCAAGTAGACATTGACAACTGGGCAAATAGACAATGACAACAGGGCATTGGCAAATAGACATTGACAACAGGGCATTGACAAGTAGACACTGACAACAGGGCATTGGCAAGTAGACATTGACAACGGGGCATTGGCAAGTAGACATTGACAACAGGATAGTGGCAAGTAGACATTGACAACAGGGCATTGGCAAGTAGACATTGATAACAGGGCATTGACGAGTAGACATTGACAACAGGGCATTGACAAGTAGACATTGACAACAGGGCATTGGCAAGTAGACATTGACAACAGAGCATTGGCAAGTAGACATTGACAACAAGGCATTGGCAAATAGACAATGACAACAGGGCATTGGCAAATATACATTGACAACAGGGCATTGGCAAGTAGACATTGACAACAGGGCATTGGCAAGTAGACATTGACAACAGGATAGTGGCAAGTAGACATTGACAACAGAGCATTGGCAAGTAGACATTGACAACAGGGCATTGGCAAATAGACATTGATAACAGGGCATTGGCAAGTTGACATTGACAACAGGATAGTAACAACGAGATATTAAAAACAGGGCATTGACAAGTGTAGACATTGGCAACAGGGCATTGTCAAATAGACATTGCCAACAGGGCATTGGCAAATAGACAATGACAACAGGGCATTGGCAAATAGACATTGACAACAGGGCATTGGCAAGTAGACATTGACAACAGGGCAGTGGCAAGTAGACATTGACAACTGGGCATTGGCAAGTAGACATTGACAACAGGACAGGGACAACTAGACATTGACAACAGGACAGTGGCAACTAGACATTGACAACAGGACATGGCAAGTAGACATTGACAACAGGGCATTGGCAAGTAGACATTGACAACGGGGCATTGGCAAATAGACATTGACAACAGGGCATTGACAAGTAGGCATTGACAACAGGGCATTGACAAGTAGACATTGACAACAGGGCATTGGCAAGTAGACATTGACAACAGGATAGTAACAACGAGATATTGAAAACAGGGCATTGGCAAGTAGACATTGACAACAGGACAGTGGCAAGTAGACATTGACAACAGAGCATTAGCAAGTAGACATTGACAACAGGGCATTGGCAAATAGACAATGACAACAGGGCATTGGCAAGTAGACATTGACAACAGGGCATTGACAAGTAGACATTGACAACAGGGCATTGACAAGTAGGCATTGACAACAGGGCATTGACAAGTAGACATTGACAACAGTTCATTGGCAAGTAGACATTGACAACAGGACATTGGCAAATAGACATTGATAACAGGGCATTGGCAAGTAGACATTGACAAGACACTGACAACAGGACAGTGGCAAATAGACATTGACAACAGGGCAATGGCAAATAGACATTGAGAACAGGGCATTGGCAAATAGACATTGATAACAGGGCATTGGCAAGTAGACATTGACAACAGGACAGTGGCAAATAGACATTGCCAACAGGGCATTGGCAAATAGACATTGACAACTGGGCATAGGCAAGTAGACATTGACAACAGGGCATTGGCAAGTAGACATTGACAACGGGGCATTGGCAAGTAGACATTGACAACAGGACAGGGACAACTAGACATTGACAACAGGACAGTGGCAAGTAGACATTGACAACAGGACAGTGGCAAATAGACATTGACAACAGGGCATTGGCAAAAAGACATTGACAACTGGGCATTGGCAAGTAGACATTGACAACTGGGCATTGGCAAGTAGACATTGACAACAGGGCATTTGCAAGTAGACATTGACAACTGGGCATTTGCAAGTAGACATTGACAACAGGGCATTGGCAAGTAGACATTGACAACAGGACAGTGGCAAGTAGACATTGACAACAGGACAGGGACAACTAGACAGTGACAACAGTGACAAATGTACAATGATAAATGGACAGTAACAACTGGACATTTACATTTAGACATATAACCACCTGTTACCTGGTTGAGCCTCGAGTACACCAACTCATGGTTATTCGCCATCACTGATGTATCGTTGACAGTCATGTTGTTACCTACATCGTAAGTAATCGAACAATTAGCTTACAAAGCATTTATACTTATACGTATAATGTGTACTCCCCCGTCCTTACTAAACAGAATCATCTCCTATCAGAGACTATCATAAGTTGGTATCGATGTTACCGAAGACGGGACTTTAACTGGTACCTCGTGCTAGATTGTTTATATCTCGTTCGATCTTTCTGGTATATTCCGCTACATTTTGCTTAATTTTCCAGTGATGTATTCATCTGCGCGCTTACGCAAAACTGACAATCTGCATTATTAATGTTTTTTTTGTGTCGTTATATGTATTGTTTTGATATTGTTAGATTCCTGCTGTTCCAGATCAAATGAATATGGTCTCGTTACCCCGTAAACATGTAGTCAGTCCTTACAAAGATAAAAATATATTTCATAGTGTAACGAGACTATATTGATTTGTGGCCCCGGACGGGATACCTATAGACTAAAGCTTAATTGAATAATTTTGGAACTAAAAAGGTGCGAGAAAAACATAGATACATGTAACTGAGCGAGATCCGGTTATCTCAGTCGGGGACTAAGATTACAGTCTAACAGTCCAACCGAAGCTGACATGAACCTGTATTAATCTAAAATATTTGGTTTGTCTTTTCCTCTCCTTATGGCTGGGTTTGTCTTTTCCTCTCCTTATGGCTGGGTTTGTTTTTTCCTCTCCTTATGGCTGGGTTTGTCTTTTCCTCTCCTTATGGCTGGGTTTGTCTTTTCCTCTCCTTATGGCTGGGTTTGTCTTTTCCTCTCCTTATGGCTGGGTTTGTCTTTTCCTCTCCTTATGGCTGGGTTTGTCTTTTCCTCTCCTTATGGCTGGGTTTGTCTTTTCCTCTCCTTATGGCTGGGTTTGTCTTTTCCTCTCCTTATGGCTGGGTTTGTCTTTTCCTCTCCTTATGGCTGGGTTTGTCTTTTCCTCTCCTTATGGCTGGGTTTGTCTTTTCCTCTCCTTATGGCTGGGTTTGTCTTTTCCTCTCCTTATGGCTGGGTTTGTCTTTTCCTCTCCTTATGGCTGGGTTTGTCTTTTCCTCTCCTTATGGCTGGGTTTGTCTTTTCCTCTCCTTATGGCTGGGTTTGTCTTTTCCTCTCCTTATGGCTGGGTTTGTCTTTTCCTCTCCTTATGGCTGGGTTTGTCTTTTCCTCTCCTTATGGCTGGGTTTGTCTTTTCCTCTCCTTATGGCTGGGTTTGTCTTTTCCTCTCCTTATGGCTGGGTTTGTCTTTTCCTCTCCTTATGGCTGGGTTTGTCTTTTCCTCTCCTTATGGCTGGGTTTGTCTTTTCCTCTCCTTATGGCTGGGTTTGTCTTTTCCTCTCCTTATGGCTGGGTTTGTCTTTTCCTCTCCTTATGGCTGGGTTTGTCTTTTCCTCTCCTTATGGCTGGGTTTGTCTTTTCCTCTCC